TCTTTCCTTGAGTAGACCAGCATAAGACCATGGACCCTCAATTGGATATAGTAGGACTTTGTACCAAAACTATTTTAACTGCTTACAGTCCATGCGTAATACCCTGGGTGAATATAGAGACGTTTCCACTTTCCCAGCAGAAGTTAGAGGGGAACAGACTGCATTTACGCTCCTGGGTGATTCTTGAAGGCGACTCATAAAGGCACAGTGTTTTTGCACCGCGCCTCAAAAGCCGTATCATTTTACAATTAAATGTTTAGACAAAGGCTGTGATATACAGTAGGCTTTAACATGTGAATAAGGGCAGTACCGGCACTTATTTCTTTCCACCTCAAGCACTTCATAATAATGAACACATGATTCTATGCTATTTCATATTTTGTTTAGTGTATTCTTTAGACCATGCCAAATGATCTTGGCAAAATGACTACTTTCCTTGCAAGAGGGGGAGACACATTGTTGCTGGCCAATTTGTCGTCTGCCAGTAAAATTAGGCCCATCCCCCTCCCACATTCGACACTTTCAGCTACCTTTTGAGCACACGTGATTCCAACCTCATCAAGCAAGGAAGTGTGCAGCTTCTAACTGAAGACATCCTATTTCAAACCCAGATTCTTTGCTTTTCAGACGTTTGTTTGCGGCTCCACCATATGGGCATACTGCATGTCCAGCCTGGTAGGACAAATACCTGAATCCCTTTGTGATATGAAATGTGCTATGTACATCAATGAAATGCACTTTTTTCATCATGTTTTTTATAATTATTTACCCTCTAAAGTTGCAATTTGTATATATATAACCCCAAACAAATAGGGGTTTTATATATATATATATATATATATATATATATATATATATAGAGGTTGCATGTTGATTTCTTGTTGTGTTCTTATCTCAAAACTCTCCAAAAGGCTTCATTTGCAGGATTAAAATCACAACCTGATTTTAGTCTTGTGTCTTTCCTAACCCTTTCCACCACTGTCTGGATAAGGTAATGAGTGTAAACCCTAGATGAAGGGCAACTGTCAGATTGAGGGTTGATAGGTGACATCAGGAGTGTAATTGCTGATACTCGCCTCAACCTGCGAGAAAAGAAACGGAGAAGAGAAGGAAATGAGTAAAGGTCGTGTTGAGGATTGTTGGCACAGCAATGGTATGGAGAAGTTGTGAAATAGGATAACCAGTAAAGTATTGGCATAGGGGATGTCAGTGGAGATGGTTTGTAATGGCTACAGGGGTCCGTTCCATTATACATGACAGCAGCTGTCAGATAGTGCGAGTGCAAATCCAGAGATTCTCATGTCTGCAAGGAGAATACCTGGCAGTTCATTGCCGAAGACACAGGCACAAGACTAAGAGGGTTTAGACAGAGGAGTGAAAGGCAAGTGGAGCAGTTTGGAGAGCCTCAGTGGCAGGGAGAAAAATCTCAGTGGGGCAGAGTGGGCTGTTTGTGGTCCGGTGCGATAAGGACGTCCACTGAGTCGTTACTTAAAGGTTAGGAGATTTGGAAAGGAATGAAAGTGCGGTTTCAGAAAAAAACATAATTTCTTGCCACTGTCACTAAGTGAATGATTACAGATGATCGGTTGCAGCCTTGATTACAGGGAGGAGTTGACAGAAGTTGGCAGAAAATGGGACAGTTAGTGATGGCCCGGAGGAGTAAAGAGGGGTTGAAGGAAGATCAGGGGGCAAGTATTGACCCTGTTGGAGGAAGACAAGCTGGAGACGGAAGAGAAAAAATCAGAGCAACAGCGGTAACAGGGAGATACACGATCGTTAGGGAAATGATAATAGGGCCAGCGGCTCAATAATAGTAGTTGATAGAATCTGACACAGTGGATTTGAGTCACTCACTCTCAGCTTCAACCAAGTCTTTCGAATGCTGCAGAAATTCCAGTTGAAATTAATAATGAATACCAGGCCTCAGAACATATTATAAAATGTATAAAACATATAGATATTGTGAGTTTATATCGGCAAGGAGAGTTTATTTGTACAGCACACTTCATAAACAAAGGAAATAAAAAAAGAAGGAAAAACATAAAAGTTTATAGAATATACAGCTTTTTAAAGGAAATGAATACGTTAAGAATAGAGAAATAAATACAGGATCAAGACAGCTAGTACTGTAAACGATGTAAGATGCTGTTCAATTTCCTCCAGAGTGCTGCAGTCGATAGCATCAAATCTTGTCCATTTTGCCATATTCCTTCCCTGTGATCTTTTGGCAGGACATTGACATTTTAATTGCTGAATTTTGTTACTGAAGAAGTCAACAAATTCATTGCATTTGTCAGTGATAAGGTGTTCAGATGCAAGGAAGTCCATCTCAGTTCTAAATTGTTTTCGGGTTGATGATTTAACCCCAGCAAATACAATGCCATTAATGCCATTCTCAATTTTGTAATTAAAATTGTTTAGAAGGTAATTCACTGAGGGCAAGGCGAGTGTATGCAGAGAAAGCTTCCATGAAGAGTGCACCAGTATCCTCACTGAGGTAACACTTTTCAACAGTTGATCTTGTGTGGACTTTAGGAGTAATAGACAAATCAGGTAAAACACAGAATTGATAGTAAGATCAGTTGCGACGACATTAGAGAGGCTTGTTGATGGGCCCGTCTTTGTGCTCAATACAAATGCACAAGAAAGCATTATTAACTCCTGCTCTTCTTTCCCCTCTGATTACATCTGTTAAATTGAAATTAGGAGGGCCTGATTTAATAAGTGCAGTTGCACTGCCACTTTCAATGAACCAGGTTTCTGTTAAACAGATACAATCAAGTTTAAAAGCAATGATAAGTTCGTTAATTTAAAATGATGTTTGTTCAAGACCTAACATTAAGCAGGGCCAGTTTCAGATTATTTCTGACAGGGCTGAGGGCAGATTGTACCTGACGAGGATATCATGGTTGATGAATTTGCCGTGTGAGTTGGTTGCATCTAGTTCACTTTACTCCTTGGCAGTGATGGGGTTAAGGATGAGGTAAGTCCATGCCCAGCAGAGGAGAAATGGGGGATACTGGGGGGAGTAGAGGTGGGGCATGGACCCTGTATATCCTAGGCATCCTCTCTCTTGTCTGCGCCTGGCAGATGTGCTTTGTGTTGATATGACTGGCAGTGTTTAGAGATCCGGCACTGCAACTCAGTGGTATCCAATTGCAACACATCCAGCTCCTTTATCTGCGATCTCAGCTTGTCAGGGAGAACCCGAAGAGGGGAGGAAGGGGAGATGAGGCAAACATTTGGTGACCTCGCTGGCCTCATCAGTCTAACCAGCACAGACAGGAGAGAGCTGTTTTCTCGTTCTGCCGTCTTCATTATCGTCTGGGTCGGTGTCACAGAACGTGGTTGTTTGGGGCGGAGGCAAGCGACATGGCAGAGCTCTATTTTATCGAGTGAGGCAGGGAAAAGGGAAGGGAGGAGGGATTGGTTTTCAGCATGTTGACGTCGTGGCTGTGATGTTTTGTCTTCGTGGCAATGAGGCTGCTGTGAGTGAGGTTGCTTCATCTTAGGCCTTGATGGGTGTCGCAGGCCGAATCAATATTGATCCATCAGTACTTTAACTCCAAAGTTACCTACACCCCCAGAACAGATCAAAGTCATCAACGTAGTAGATCCCTTTCAGACCACAGGTTTGGCTGAGCCATGTGCTCAATGATAAGTCTGCCAAACCTGTTATCCCTCTTTTGACCATTGGCAGTGGTCCACTATTAAACAACTGGGCTTCCAGTTTGCCAAGGCCATTAAAAGCTGTTCAATGAAATGATTGACCTTTGCAAACAGCACTGACTTCCACATGTAGAATAATTGGATTCATTTTGGGGTGTTGAGATATCATTTTTTCCCCATAGGTCACAGACCATAGCACCTTGGAATTAGTATGTTTTGACTTAATGCTAATATATCTGATAGCCGCTGCTCTAACAACCAAAGGTTGAAATGTACTCTTTAGAGGTTTTTTCCCCCTTTTGCTTCATTTCTCATGCCTGTCTTACCTTTTTCTTTTGGCTCAAATTCTTCATAATTCTCGCCTTGCCCATTCTTATCAGCACCCATCTCCCTTCCTCTCATGGAGATTCATTATCATTCATGGAGGTTTAGCTAGCCATCTTTTCTAGTTGACTGTGTTTATATCTGCCTCTGGCCGTCCGCCGGATGTCCCGGGACAAAGTTGGCTGAGCGGAGGACCTAAATGGCCCTCCTTAGGAATACAGTACAGGCTTGCATTTGTCTTTAGATTTAATATCATCCCAGCAGGTAGAAATCCCAGTCACCACACATGTCTTGACTGAGCTTCAGTGAGTCTGGGAAAAGTAATGGTGTCATTCAGAGTTGGCTGTTCATTTAAATCGTGTCAAGTTGAGTTCTGCTTAGCTGACAGAGTTAACAACTCTTTTACAGTGTTTTGAGTATGGCAATCTTCTGTAGAAACTTATGACAGTCCTGTGTTCTTCATTGATGCGGATGAGCACAGAGGCATTGTGTTGTCTGAGACACTGCTGTCAGAAGTCCAGTAAGTCGCTTTTTGGGAACTAAAGGTAGTTGATAGTCAATGATTGCAACCAGGAGTTTCAGTCATACTGTATATTAGCATTCCATCCTATCAATGCTTTAGTTGAGACAGGAAACCACCTTACATTATAAGCTCTGTAAAGCTTAAAACAAACAATATAAGCAAAGCAGAGAGCAAGAGAAAAGAGTGTCTGCACTGTAGCAGAGCTGGAAATAGTATACGCACCTTCTCCGTTTTTGATCATAGCTAAAACATTAAAATATGTTTGATTTATTGTCTGACCATCACATCATCACCAGTACTTTGTAGAGATGTATGTTAATATAGATGTTGCAAAGGCTTTTATTTTGTACATCTACTGAGATTTGTTGACTAACTCCAAAAATATAGCACTCTCCCGAGGCAGGTTTTTAAAAAAACAAAAGCCTCACCATCGCTGGTGCTCCTTCTGCACACCGCCTACCAGAGCAGTGCGTGTGTCGTGAAATCTCCTGCTTTAAATCTCGGCATCTATATTGTTTGGCTGTCAACCATGGTGCGTGGTGTTTCCACGTATCCAGCACAGACAGACAATTTTTTCTTAATGCAATGCAGAACTATTGCCAAGCATATACATTGGATTGGTTTAAATAACTTTAATGTACCTGAAGTGTGTACAGCTGTATTATCCAGGACAATAGAAGTATTGGATCGGAACCCTGTGTGGGAAAGGTACTCCATATTAAATAACTTGGATCGAGTGGAAAAAAACAACTTTCCAGCTGTCTCACAAAGGTAGAGGTAGGCAGTGTGGGCGTTAGACTTTCCCGGTAACCTGGGCACATCTCCAATGCAGTCGCTGGCTTTGCTTTAATTAGGGTGCAAATTATATCTGAGTAGATTCATAGGTGAGCTACCGTAAGTGTGCAAGACAAATTGCACAGGAAATGCCACATTAACATGTAATAAGACTGAACTAAGTAATCTCTAATTAGATTGCCCTTTTAGAAAGGGGAGCGCGTCTGTGATCCTGTGGAAAAACGACTTTTTAGGGCTCTGGAGAACATGCCTGGAACCTTTTTAACAGTTGCTTCTGATACAAAACTGTTACTCGTGTATTATTATATAGCGCTTAATGATGGTGATGACATTTATTATACTTTGTTCTTTCCTCTTCTGAAAACAGCATTTCTTTTTGAACAGCTATCATTTTGACTTCTTACACATATCAGCCATTCACTGCCTCTTTGCCTCCACTGATGGAATCTGACATGACAACCTTTAAGGTTGTTTGTGCTTTTAATAGTTTCTCGTAATTAAATACACACTTTGTTGATCTTTCGTATTATGACAGTTTCTTTCGCCTTTCGCTTTTTATCTAATCACAGTGTGGGGTGCAACAACCCAATGAGTCATTCCCAGAATCCATCATTTTTAAAACTGGCATTACCGCCTTGCAGTTGTATGCCTCTGCCAAGCAGACATGTTGCCGTTTACATCCATGTCTGTCCAAAGTGTCATCACTTCACAATTTTACCTAGCTAGACATTTTTTGTGAAATTGTCATAATTGTCATATTTTTTTGCAAACAGAAGTGACACAAGAGGGCGGAGTACGACTGAACGCCGCATAAGACATTCGAAGGCGACCAAGAGAAGAATTCAACAGCCAGACCAATGACTCACACAGCAGCATGATGGAGAAGAGTCACCTCCAGTTTTAATTAGTCCAGCAGCCAATTTTAAAACAGAGATAGAAAAGGATGGACTTGACCAATACCGACATATTAAGTCAAAAGAGTGAAGAGGTCAGACTTTCACTTCACAGTTTGTCACTCACTGTCATGGCGCTTTTACTGGTATCCAAAATGTCACATACAGAAGTTTAAGAAATTAACTATGTGTACAGATCTCCACCTAGACCTTACGAACTATAAAGTGGACTGATTTTATGGAACATTATAAATGAAGGGGATTGACCCATACATTGTTCATGTGATTGTCTGTTGATGGTGATCAGTGTTTTTCTGTTGAATGTGACTTCTGCCTTTTTTTGATTTGCAATATTAGGATTTGAATTAGTGTAAAAAGTCTGCGTCATGTCAAGTACGCGACTGAATAAAAGGGCGCTCCATGAAAAATAACAATAACATAAGCAGGGTTAAGGTGTACGGGCTAACGGAAATTCTTCAATCAATATCAACATACTGAAACCAACTCTGGTCCAGGATGAATGAATGCAATAATATTAAACAGACATGTCTCCAGAGGTATTGGTATTAGTTATCTACATACTGTCATTTCAGGTACCAGATCAGACACACATGAGTCCTCTTAATAACATCATGCTTGGATCTGGTTTCTGAAGACAAAACGAAAACTAAGCTACAAACTAAACTAAACCGAAACCAAACAGCACTTTACAAAATGTTACTATACATATAATACCTCCAAATCAAACAATACAACAATACAAAATTGCTTTTCTCTTCTCCCCTAGAATCTATTTTTGCTGACATGTGGTACAGAGCATACGGCAACTCTTATAAAAAGCAACAAAGCGCAAAAAAGTACAACAAATACAACAACAAAAATGGATGAATTAATAAAGAAAACGTAAAACAAAGTAGATGGCGCATTGAAAAGGAAACTGAACCTCAAGTAAAGACAAACAACATACATTAAGCAACAATATCAAGATCACATTTTCCCCCTCATAACTATGCTGTGGTGTTGTGGCAAATCACGTCTTATTGTGTTCCGTTGCCTAACACTCTGAGTAATGGACATAACAGAAGCTGAACGGACTATTCCTGTTGCTATGACTAGAAGCAGTTCATCAGCAGTCCCAGTCTCTTTTCTGCACCCCTTTTTTCCTTTCACCCTCCAACCCTCATTCCCTCCTTATTCTGAAGGCATTCAGGTGAGTTTTTCTTTAGTTCATTGAAAACACCCAGCACCTCCTACGCAGTGTTCTTAATTGCATTCTCATTAAGCTTTTCCATGTAGTTCCGAAGATCCTGTGAGTCCCCAAGCTCGATGTCCGGACATACCCATTTTATCTCACTGGTCTGCACAAGTGCTAATGGGCTGAGCACAGGACATCCATTACTGGACTTGATGTTGGAAAAGGTGGTGAACTTCACCCTCTTTCTCTTGGTGGTGGGTGAGTTAAGGGACTCGTTCCTGTGATCCCTCCCACTCGAACTACAGCCTCCAACACCAATATTTCCACGCTGAATGCCCCCGTTCAGTAACTGACTACCCTCCTCTAGAGCACCGCTCAGCTCTTCCTGCTGCTGTTGCTGCAGACATAGCCCCTCGTCTTGGCCCAGCCAAACCCAGTCGTGGGCATGGGGCATTGCCTCTGGGGCCTCCAGGGACAGCTGCTTGCTACGGTACTTGTATGCATAAGAGATGCAGTTAATGAGAAAAACCAGGATGGCCAGGCAGAAGACTCCCAGCAGGGCGTACATACCAATCTCCAGGTCTGTCAGGCCTCGTCGGGATGGTAACAGGTCGTCATCAGTGCTGCGGCTACGAGGCAGCTCTGCCTGGTCTGGATATTCAGAGAATTCATTCGGGACCCTGGCCCCGCTCTCGGCTGATAGACGGCCTCCATTAGGTCTCACTGGGACATGGCCCCTGATTGTAGTGGCTCCACGATTGATTAGCCCAGTTTCCACGTCAGCGATAGAACCGCCATAATATGGAGGATCAGGACGTGTTCGCCGGTCTCCTGGTTGTCTGTATTGCTCGCCTGGCTGACCAAATCTTGTCTGTATGTTTGCCATTCCAGTGGCTAAGATAGTGCGTCGTTTTCCCTTCTGGCACACCTCTGATGGGCTCATTTCAACACGCACAAGCAAACCCTGACCCTCCCCCTTGGCAACAATGATTGGCCATTTCCATGCTGCACTGCGCTGCACCGCCACCAGCTGTTCATCCAAAGAGGTGGCTGTCAGGGTAAAATGGGCAGGGTTGTAGTTGTCTAGAGCAGTCATGGATCCATCACTGAACTGGAGCCAAGCGCTGATAAGCGACTCCTAAGGAAATTGACAAACAGAAGTTGTTATTATTACAATAGCAAAAATAACTGTGCCTCAGTGATCTGCACACGTTCAATTGATGCACAAGAGTGTAGAATAAAACAAAGGAACATGGTGAAAGCAAAAGTGAGCCTTAATTACAGTAGAAAAGCGCAAATTGGAAATGAAATTATTATCCTGAAAGCCAAATATTCTTTTCTCTCCAAGGGAAGAGACAGAAGCCGTTTCCATTTGAAATTCTAATTACGAGAATAACAGAGCTGTTCAGTGGTTGTATATGCAAATCAAAGAGATGGCTTCACTATATCAAGAGTGAATTCATTATAAAAGGAAAATTGCAACACATATCATAGACTTCATATTAACTCTGATTCAGCCCTGAAGTTGTAAGCCATATACAATGTGGAGCGCTAATAAAGACCATCCTCTTGTGGCAATGTTAAAGGATGATTCATTATGTACAAAAACAGCAAAATATTTGGATGCCGTGGATTAGTACCTGATTGAGTGATTCAATGACTTCCTGCGTGGTTGCAGTGGCGACGATGGCCCTGTTGCTGCCCGGGCTGAGCTGCAGGGACAGAGAGAGTCCAGAGACCAACTGCACGCCCAGCTCTGTCACGCTCACTTTATCATCTAGAACCCTGATGCTCCTCTCAGCCAGGACCGATGATGTCAGAGGGGAGAGCACCTGTCAACACACAGAAACATTTGCTACTCACGTGGGTCTATTAAGATCCAAAATGACTGTTACTGTGAATGAAGAGGAGGAGCCAATTTGCCAGTAGCCACTGTTGTTGACACCGATGTCTCTAAAGATGATAAGATGTCTGAGCCCTGAGATCCAAAGCATGCACTCTAATTTGAGTTTTATCAAGAAGTGCCATTGTAGTTCCTTCTTCCAGTGGTCCACAACTAATGAAATGTAACCTTAGTCCAGTACTATAAATTAAGTCTTGAAGAAAAACGCAAACATAACACAAAAATACATACTGTATATTTATACCAATGCTATAGAAAAAGGATGCTATCGCCAGGATGACATCATTTGTCTGAGTCTTCAAAAACCAAATCCTGGTAGTTGTTACAGTTATTCAGACCGTAGAATGACTTGGTAAGGGTAATGTGATAAAATGGGTACAATGAAGTGGTCACTCAACCAACTTCCTTCTTTTACTTTTCCTGCACTTGTTTGTGTACTGGGTTAATAAAAACATGCAAATGGAACAAAAAAATGGCACATCCTTTGTATTATAAACTCTAATTAGTAACAGAGACCACATGCACATGAACACTGCGTAGCTAAGAATATTGGGATACACTGTAAACAAACGCACACTAACATAAAAACGCCTCTAACCTCACATACAAACATATAATCCCCACCCCACTAACACATTCTCCGCCTCCCTGAGGTGCCAGAGGCGTAAGCGTGTAAATAGTTGTGATTATTGTTATGAGATGAGTATCACTCCCATCCGCTCCAATTAGGGCTTCAGTCTCTCCTCCAACCGCCCCCTCATGGCCGCATTTACCAGCCATAATGAACTGTCAGCACCTATCACTGCCTCATTTGTACAGACCCTTTTCCCTGTTTTCATTTTCCCTGTTGCCTCCCACACATATCCTTGAATGTTAAGCACAGCTAAAATCATCCTACTCTCAAAACATGGGCATAATGTTTAACCTCACCTCTGAGATGAGTGTAAAGGTTAAACAGGCAGACTGGTGGTGGCTTTCACTCTAATTAATAAGCGAGCACACTGATTGTCTGAAAGTGTCAAGAGGTTGTGTATCATCTGCTCTTATCAGGAGACGCTTCCCAACTTCATAAATAATCTTTCCCCTCTAAAGATGCTGGGAAGCACATCCTATAACCCCTACAGAACTCTCCACAAGAAGCCAGTACCCAGCGCATCCTCTTAAACCTAACCAAGACTATACACTAACAAATGTCCAGGCTTTGTGCTGCTCTCCTCTCAAGATGTCAAGGCTCCTTTCCTTGATTCTGTGGAAGTGGTCAGACACCTTCTCCGCCCCTTCACCAGAGTCCTTTGTTCATTATTCAGAGATGTCGTCTCCCTTCTCAAACCCATTAGAGAGACTGCAGGGTCTGCCTTTGGCCTACATCCATAGTCGTGAGATACCCTCCCCAGTAATGCCCAGACACAACCCTTCCTCACACCAGTCCCCGAGTTTACAGGTTTGCATCATTCCACCACCAGAGAGCAATTAAAGACCCCTACAAGGCTTCCCTCTTTTTATTCAAAGCTGTCTTCTCTTGTATTATTTCCCTCCAAATCTCAGAGGGCTTTCACTACCTGACCCCACAAAATCCTGTGTGCACCAGGATCCAGCCTACTGCAACCAACAACGTTACAAACGACCCGGCGTCGGCCATACCGTGTCTATCCGACTTATCATACTGACATGTCTGCAAAGGTTACTGGCAAAATGTGTATTGCATGCAAGTAGTCTATCCATAACATGTGAGAAAGCAATTGATTCATTCCTTTTCTTCCGGTACACCATTGAACTTGCAGCCCAGTATACTAATGATCACATCACCAATTCTATGGCCACTATGGAATCATCTAATACCTCAGTGGCCTTTTGAAATCCTTGGCTTTCATTTAATTGTCAAATCTAAGTCCTTCATTGTAATTCTGAACAGTTTGATCAAAAATAAAACTCCTAATATTTTATGTATTCAAAGCCTTTGGGAATCGGTGCTGTATTACTGGTACTCGGATGATTGAGGCAGAAATCCTTCCATTTTTTTTAAATGAACGAGCTCTCAAGTTCACATGATGCTTTTCACAATGTCCATATCTGCTATTTGTGTGTCTCTCAACCTGCATCTGAACATACAAACAGCGTAGCTATTGGTGCAATAAGTCCCCACTTGCAGCTGCATTACCACTCAACAATGAGGTTACATTAATAGAGAGAAGGTATACACACAATATTATCTAGACTGGACTTAAATGATTGGAAACTATACTAAAGACTATATTAAAGATACTCAACAATGTACTGGAAAATGTTACATAACAGCTTGGTCTTATAAGACCTTTGAGCTATTTATTAATGGATTTACAAATCAAATAATGCTCAATCAATTTCGTAAAAACAAATAAAAAACAGTTTTTGTTCTTTCCATATTTCCTGTTATGCAATGTTTGAATAAAAAGATAGTTTAGGACCAAATATCGGAAAATGCTAACAAATATTTGTTCTTTTTACAAATCATTTGTGATTTGTGATGGTCAGATCATGGAACAGCCCCAGCCCATTCTGTACGTTGCTAAAAGGCCAATGCTTGCGTGGATGTTGCAGTATTTCTAATATCCTGCCTAGAAGGAGCCAATCAAGGGAGGCGTGCAGCTGTTATTCACAAAAAAATATGGAGAAACAAAGGTCACAGGAAATGGAGATATTGAATAAGGTTTTTGTTGTTTTTAGGAAAATAAGGAAACCTTTGGAATAAGTAACCCGAGTGGTTCATGGAGCTGAATCCATGCTTTGCTTTGTCTAAGTGTTTACATGATTTCTCTGGATTAAACCAAAAGCTTTGTGCTAAATCAAGACCATGTTTTTATTCAGTATGATTTAACCTTTCCACCGACCACCTGACCAGCATACCAAAGACTTGTTTGAAAACATGGCTGACACTTACAGAGTGTTGATTACATAGAAGATGCATTAAATATCAAATCATTAACCTTTATGTTTATTACATCATTTTCATTTCAGGGGATTGTTAGACTGCACAGATATTCAAAATTTTATTAAAATTGCAAATGGACTTTTCCAAAATATTTATTAAAGGAGAAAGGTGTATCAAAATACCAATTTCAATTAAATATTGCCGTGCAGCAGAGATGTCCTGGCCTACACATCATATGCAAACTTCTCTAATATCCCAAATCCTACCTTCATTGCCATATCACTCGAAATAAGTGCAATTAGATATGTTTTCAAAATCGTTCAGCCCCACATATTATAGGTACCAGCAATTATAACTCCCTGTGTAAGAGCTAGATCAAGCTGCTCTTCACATAAAACAAATGACAGGACATTATTCCTTCATTACTATGATATAGCTCTAATGGGTTTAAATCACCATGGCCAAAATGTAGGAATGAAGGAAAACAAAAAGAATTGGCACCGCTTTTGATAGATACTTTATCCAAAAAGAAAGAAATCCCAGGCTTTAATGCCACAGCATTGTAAAAGTGCCCACATTTATTTCAAATGCAAACTACAGCCTCAAATGTACCTGGAGTTTCAGCCTAAACATGATCTTCAAACCTTTATGACGTCTTTAGAAGCTTTTTAACCCACCCCCCCGAACTAGTGCAATGATGCACACAGTACACTAGTGAATCGATCTGAGCTGACTGTGTCACAATCAGGGCTGGATTAATATTCGCTGCTGAAAATGGAGAATTTAAGGCTTTACCAAGTGTTGAAATACAGTTTGTTAAATGGCCCATAGTGCCATTCCCCTTTCATTCCACTGTATAACATCTGCACAGATCAGTAAGATGTAAATCTACCACATGATAGCTTTGAAGTAAAACGAGCAATCAAAAATGATGAAATGGGAAACTGAAAATGTGTGCATTTTCAGTTTCCCATTTCATCAGTCCCAGATCAGATCGGCTTAGAACAAGTCGATCTCACATATCTTTCGAGTCACTTTTCCTTCCATTTAAAGCGTGCCCAGGCCAACAGGGAAACACCACTCTATCTCACACACATGTAGCCACTCCTGCAGTGCACACAGCTGTTCTATTGATAAATAAAGAGAAGGCGATTAGGATTCCAGTCCACTGCTTCAACAATGTGTTGTTCTGTGTTGTGCTATCTTGTAAACGCCAGATTTGATGTTTGTTTACGGTGATGGCGGACACGTGTCATCCTAAGCGAGCACCTGGTTGTAGTATAATGTAAATAGGATTCTGAGTGTTGTGTATGAAGGAGGGAGGGAGAGAAAGAGTGAGAGATATATCACTCTTTCTCTTCCTGCAGAGGTGCAAGCTTGTAGTAGACGTGCCATGACACCACGTTTCTCTGTTAGCTCATGATAGGCTTAAGTATTTGTGCTATGCTGCAATCAATGTAGTTGTTTTTGTAACCTTTTTCTCTTTCCACAGCCAAACCTGTTGTGTCTTACTCCACATTCTCTACATGTGTAGCTTACTCGCAACCTCTTTCTTGGAAATTTTTGTAGTTGTCCAGCCAAAACATGCAAACAACTCGCCTGTTTTTATGCCTTCAGCATACGTGGGACAGCATTAGCACTTATTCAGAGACATGTTTCTGGCTATCTGATGAATGGAAGTCCAACATTCACTTTACTTTTAGACATGTTTCTGTCTCCACCAACCCAGATGAAAAATGTCTGCGTTTTAGCTCCTAGATGCTCCAATAGGTTCACCAGCTAGCTTTGTCCATCTGTTGTTTGCTGCTTGATGCTGCAGGAAACAGGATTGATGAGAGTTTGACCACAACAATGAGCAGAAAGTGGCTAAAACCTTGTACAGCTTTGTCACTACAAGCGACTACTTTTACATTACACACAGAGCTAAACTATTGATTAGTGGAGCTTCTCCTCTTTCTTCATTTTACATTGTGTTGTGAACTGAAAAAAGTACTCTACCCATCAAAAACACTACATTGAGATAGATTTTTTTTTTGTAGGAATTATCTGTGTGACTTTCCCAAAATACTTGCCTAGTTCCAGACGTCTGCAATACCTCCCATATATTAGATTTTTTGAGTGGTGATTTGCTGACTGTTTCCTTAGTTGGAAACACAGCTCAGCCAATCAGAGCGTTGTAGGCAGGATTAAGAATGACATCATCATCCCGTGTCAGAGTCAAATGGCGAAAGATGAATTGGCACTAAAATGGCAGGTTGTTTAGTTTCATTCTGTGTCGACAAAAAATTCTGTTGACGTGACAGATGTGTCAGTCACTACTGATTGGTTGGGGCAAAGTCACTCCCCCACCTAAACATGAACATGATGTCATACTACACACACACATACACATACACCCATCCAACCTGTAGTTTGGTGATTCCAGCGCCCACTCCTATGAGAACTTGGCCCTCCAGCAGTTGTGCAACCTTCGGGACCTCCACCCTCAGAAAGTCCTTGACCAGTTGTGTCACCTCCACCTGCCAGTCACTACCCAGCAGGAAGTTCTGCTGGCCCAGGCCGTCCTGGTCTCCTCTAACTTCTCCCGTATCTGCCACAAAGTGTGTGAGGACACGGAGGGTGGTGCTCTGATACTGGGCAACACAGCCGCTCTCCTTCCTCTCGTCTGCTGCATCGTCTTCATCGTTGTCGTCAGTGACCCTCTCATACCTGCGCGAATGAGAAAAGGAAGTGCAAACGAGCAATGACAATGAAGCGTGGATCAAATTACCGCTAACAGTGAAGAGTATGAAGGCAGATAGCACAAGCATACTTCTGTTTGTGAAGTAAAAAGCACTGAAAGCACTTTGTGTTTCGAGAAGTCCTCAGGTGGCAAAGATACTTTGAAGGTTATCACCAGTATAATTCTATTTCCTCTCACAATTCAATGTAATTCATGTTTTCCTTATCACCATTAATGCACATACAGTCTAAACCCTCTGATGTATTTACTGCAGTGCAGTCAGAGCCTCTACTGTCTGTTGTGCTGCCGGTTTTCTCGACCTCCCGAAAGTCATAGGCTCCCAGTGTTTTCAAAAAAATCCATTAAAAATCAGCTTGCAGAGACAAACTGCTGCCTTGCTTGCTTTCTCATTTTCTTTATTAAAAGGGCAACTGATATTTTGCTGTATGTCTGCCATTTATTTGGCACACGGCAAACACTTTGCAGATAGAGCCATCTCAGAAAGATATACGTTTTGTTACAAATGAACGTTTGCAAAACCCAGTAGGGGAATTCTTTACACATTTGTTCCGCACTTTTCCTCCTAGTTAAGTGAAGTTTATATGGCCCTTCATCACATTAACAGGCCCACATTAGAGTGGGGAAGGTCGGACAGGAAGGACGAGGGTTGGCAATTGGAGAAATCCTGCGAAGAATTACAAAAGAGGTCTTATAGGCGCCACTGTGGATCTAATAAAACATCCCACCAATTCATACAAACAGACAACTCAAAAATATATTATGGTCGAAGCCATTAGGCAGCTAGATGTTTGATATGAGGTTTACTTATAAGATTACAAAAGTCAATACATATCTGAAATACAAAATTAATAAAAAATCTTTATACTTGGCTGCTTTAAGGGTCCATTTGGTTCTATTATGCTCTAATATATCATATAGTATTCTCAGCAGGTTGCCTTACGTAATGATTAACTGGAATTTAATGTACCTCCCAAAGGTTCATATTCTGCTCCCTCCCCACAAAAAAACAAAGATTAAAACTGCTTGTAGACACAAACTGCTCCCTCAGCTACTACAATACATCATATTATAACAACATATTGTATTTTTTGGCCTCCATGCTGGGCTGAGGGAGCTGCAGTGACGGGTGAAATGTGGCCTTGGGACACAGATCCTCTCCTAAGAGTCAACCGTGTTGACTCTGAAGAGAAACATTGCTCCAGCTATTAGGTGCATACATCACTCGTATCCATCCCCATCCTTCATCTTCCATCACTCTTTACCACTAGGTCTATTTTGTTGTCCTGTGCATTACCATTGTCATATCTCTTTCTCTCTCTGCAAGACTGAATCTCATTCTATATTTTGTACATCAGTTTCTAACTTGACTTGACTTTAATCCATTTTTCAACTCTCTCACTCTGCTTTTCTCTCTCACTCAGTCTCAGCTTTTATTCTCTTTCACTTTCCAGCTCTGCCTGCATCTCTGACAGTCAGCTGGCCGGGGGGGGGGAAGTGACAGTGACAGTTTCCATTAGGTTTAATGAGGCATGGGCGGTCAGGCAGAAAAAAGGGCTGACAGGTTAACATGCTGTGGCCCAACGGCTTGGCTTAGTTCCTAGCCTCCATTCACCATGCCCTCCCCCTTCCCTTATTCCACATCAGTAAAGGGGACGGCAGTTAAACCAAGGTGACATTTGTGGCTGGCAACAGAAACATGAGGTCAGGTCATGTTTGTAGCAGTGAGTGACAGGTCAGTCAAGGTGTCAGAGAGCACGCGCACACTGACACACTATGGCACATTTTCTTAAAAATGTAATTTAGTTTTTGATATTCTCTCTCTTCTCGTACAAGTATGCACACAAACTTGGCATATCCTGCGTTCTTCGTGCAGTGATGCACTTGACAGACATGACTGATGGGATCAGATGTGGATAGCAGGGCGTTAGAGTGCCACCCTGTGGGGTGTAGGCCAATGGGAAATGGCACAGAAGTGACTTTTTGGCAGGAATGTACTTTAAACAATATGTTTTCCATACAGATCTTTCATATATGAAAGTTAATATAGAGGTTCTATTAAAACAAATTCACTTTTGGTGTTAATTGGGGTCTAGTTTACTCAAAATCTGATTCACACAACCTAAACCGTCAATAGCAGCAATGTTTCCATTTAAAGTATATCAAGTTAAAATTGTGATTTGACCTTCTCACCCATTATTATTTTTTTGAATTAATTACTGTGGTGGAAAAAACTATTCAATAGTGAGTCCTATAATACTGAATACTGAAACAAGAATCATTGAGGAAGTGCACAGTAGAAACACAGTAGAAATGTACTAGCACAGGGAAGATTCTCCATCACATTACTAACAATAAAGACAACCTATATGTCAACGGCTACATCCTTTACATGTAATTACTGTTTTCATCTCGCAGTATGAATTGTGCATGAATGTAATATCCTCGCTCTTGTCAGAGGCTAAACACTGGGGCATATGGAACAATCTAATTCCCTTTTCCAGTACAAACATAGTAAAACCATAGTTACTGTATGATCAAAGTTATTAGTAATAATAATAGCTATTATTAAATGTAAATTATTCAGTGTGCCTCAATGATCATTTATTTTAATTTCAGTAGGGTTATTTCTTTTTTGAATCAGCCAGATTCATATTTGAAGGAAAAACTAATATAATATAGCTAAAGATAATAATATCCTTATTGTAACCGCATCATACAACTCACGAAGCAGCGCACAGATCATGCGCACTGTGCCATTTTTCAGCCCCAGGAATTTTTGCCACGCTCTGTAATGCTCAAAATTATTTCTTATTTCTTATTCAGCATAAATACCTTTTGGGAGACCAGTGGATCCAATGAATTATGAGACACTCATTATTGCGACTCTGCAGCTGCACCTGCATTTTATGGCTCATATATCTGCTCCAACATTACCAAGACAATTTATTGTGGCCTCCATTTAGTTTACCAAGTGAAGAATGTGATCGGATTCTCATGCAGGAGCTGTTGAAAACCTCTCAGGTTAATGACCTAAATAAAGAAGTTTAGACTTGTCTTGTATGGCCAACTTGTGCTGTGATACATGGGCAGTAACTAGATGAAGCCCAACATCTATTTTGCATTTAGCTTGTGCAAGAGTTTGGTGTTTGTTTGAAGATGCAAGGATTAATGTGCTGTAAATAGTTCCCTTACAGCTGCTGATGTGGCGCTGCAATTCAATTCAAAATAGGCGTGGATATTACAATAATGCATGGCATGACATGCAACAGATGCAATAGACAATCGGGCCTTACCTCCTGTTCCCCGTACTAACGGGGACCCTCCAGCCCTTTATCTGGCTAAGCTCGGGGTCGGCCACATCGATGAGCAAGGGCAGGTGGGGCATCCACACGCTCATCTCCAGCTGGGCACTCAGGAAACTGTAGGTAAAGTTGAGCATCACCCTGCTCTTCCCTCTTGTCTCCTTCCCGTTGACATACACGTAGTCGCATCGCTCTGACACCTGGAGACAAAAGGGAAAAATGAGGGAAGCAGCCGGATGAGAGACGGACTAAAGAGATAAAGAAAGTAGGGCAATCTATTTGAGACGAAAAACCTGGACAAAAGTATTTCAATTCTAATAAGGAGTCATATAAACGAAATGCTTCTAAAATGCGTCATCTTGAGAAAGATCCTCGGTTCTTTCTGTCCAGTTGATGTTTGTCAGCAGCCTCTTCTGAGATGCTGGCGCGTGGAAACATTTGGCATTGCTTCAGTAAAACTACAAGAGTCCGGTCTGCTGAGTTTCTTCTGTGCGCGGATAAGTCATTAATGCGTGTGCATGCAGGATAATATGTGTGCAAATTAGTGTGACTTTGGTTCCAACTGAACAGATGGAGCTTAATAAAAGACGCAAACTTTATTCATCCAACCAGAGAACGGAACCTCAAACCGAATTATGATTGGCTGCGTAAAATACAGCTCCAATCAGTCATTCAGGTTCTGTTGATGCGTCTCCAACATAGAGAAATGATATAGCAGAAAATGTCTTAAATGTCTATTATCTTCAAAGCACCAGAACCTTCAAATGTTTTGTTTCCAATCCCTTGCATTTCAATCTCAAATACCATCATAAGCTTGATTGGCACAACTGGTAATTTCAGCACATGTCCCCATTACTGACAATTGCTTCTTTGTAACAAACCACTCACAAGAAGACTGTCATCTGTCTCCACGTCTTTGCATAAAACTTGGCTCTGCTCTCAAATGATGTCAGGCCAGCCCCCTATCTCTGGGGAACTAAACTGACAGCTTGGTGTCTGTCAGTTCTCTCCTCCTCCTCCTCCCATTCGTTTCCTCTTTCTCTCCCACTCTCTCACTCTTACCCTCGTCCTACTAAACTATTACTGTGACTTATATATGTTCAGTCTTGCTGGAATGAGAACAGGTTGTGCGCGTCAGGAAGGACGATTCTCAGGCTGGAATCTACTTGTTGAAAGGTTCAAGAAGTCACCGGAAGTTTTGGTCAAATCATCAGTTTAGGTTCATAATCAAGCCACCTGTTTAGCAAATTATGTGCAAGGAATATCCACCCAAATGCACCTGTCACATGATGAAGTGTGTAACTTTAATATCAAAATGATGTAGCCTTATTTGATAGGATCAACAGTGCATTCTGCATGCAAGTAGGGCTGACACTATTCAATTAATGGATCAACCAACAATTTTGATAAATGATTTTAAAAGATCAAACAAACAAAAATGCTAAACATTGACAATTTCCTCCTCAAAATATGAGGAATTGCTGGCTTTCTCCATTTTATATAAAATGTTCTAAAACGTTGTGCTCTTGTAAACAACATAATCATGAACACAAAAGTCACATCCACAAAGAATGGTAAAAGAAAACGGGGTCCCGTTGAGAAGTGTAAACAATATTCAATATTCAATATTCTTAGTGCTTGGCATCAGAAAAACTCAGCAATTTTTGATTGTTTTATTCTTCAAAAAAGAGTGAAGCAGCCTAACTGGAATGAAATCTAGTTTTAAATCTAGAGCGTAGTGCCTTTAAGGACATCCAAACTGTGGCTTCACTTGTAGTCTTGATAGCATATAAACAGTCAGTTAACAGAGGAGCAATGCACTTGTGTGTCTTCAAAAGTATTTTATACTACGATATGCTCGCTGTACATGTAAACTGGTATACATTTAATAAAAACACAGGCTGCTTCTTCATTTGAGGAATTACAGCTTTCTGCCCTCGCTGGCATTGAACAATTGATGCGAGTTGATGACAATGGATTGTGTACGGTATGGAAATGACTCTTTTTGGGAGGTGTGTGCACGTTGAAGTCCCAGGAACACACACACAGAACATGCACTAATGCGCAGGGTTTCTAGAGGCAACCATCCAGAAAGCGAGCATAAAAAATCCACTTGACTCCTCATTGAGTCTCTTAAGCCTCACCTAAATTTCTGTTCCTTTTTCACTGTTCATTTCCTCTCTCTCCCTCCCCCTCTTCTCTGTCTGCCTCACCCCCCTGTGTCACCTCGATGCTGCAATCAGTTTATGTCAAGTTGTCAACCCATCTCTACCTTTGTAGTTTTGTTCCACTTTGTTTCCCAGTACTAGATCCATCTTCATCTTTCCTTTTTGAAGGGTATGGAAGTTGATAACCATAAAGATTTAATTGAGATCTGCTGAAGGTGGCATCTTGTGCGCTGCGTGAAGAATGTATCACCGCGAATGTGTCACGAAACCACGCACATGTCCATGTCACCTCTCCATGGAAACAATCCATTGTGTTGCTAATCATGCAGGCTTGAAATGTATCCAGAGCGACGCACACAGATACGATTTGTCACTTACATTGCACTGTACTTCTGCTGTGGCCATTTTCCAAAGGATGTTAAGATTTGATTTAATTCCTTAAAATATATAATTGCCTTACTACTTAACTGAAATTTAGGGCACTGAGCTGAATATATATTTTTCTTTGATTCTTGCTTAGAGCAGCAATTAAGTGCAATTTCCATCATTTGAATGGAACTATAGTGAGGTTTATTGAATACACCTCAGGGCTCTACATCACTGTGATAAAAGGAGAAACATCTAGTACAAGTCACGTTAAAACAGAATATTAAAACACGTCCTTGTTTTGTTTTGTCTCACTTCGTATTAAAATCAATCTGCCTTTTTTCGAAAAAAAAAACCCAGGGGAGGATATATTGTAATCTATTACATTCAAGATAATTTTTATAGCTGATAAACATAATTATAATACTCCACTGTTCATTCTTTTTCACTCTTTATTTTAGGAGAAAATATTCAATCACTATTTGTTTTCCCCAGTCACAAACTTGGAAGCCAGTCAAAAGCAGCAAGAGCCCACTGAGTCATGCTAATTCCTGGCCTCACTTGTTACTGTAGAGCACTGTGCTACTTATGATAATGGGTAGAGTAGGCGACTGGCATTGACATCAGGTCTAAAGAGGAGGGCATTTTTACAATAGAGGGTAGGTAAATTACATAGACTGAATAAGATATGGACGTTGTCTGTGTGATGTCACCCGAGGCTCTCTGAAGAGCCATTGTGAAGCTCAATGTGGGTGGCTCCGGCAGACCCCGTCTTGGCAGCGCCGACACAGACAGTCAGCAGCTAGCAACCCGGTTTGGCATCCACCTCAAGTGTGCATAACTTTAAACCTTATTACAAATTAAACGGGTTAGCTATAGAGACCAAAACCGTTTTTTTGTACCAGGCTGTAAACAGGTTTATTTCATCTCCAAAGGGGGGGGGGGGGGGTCTATGGAGGTTGACTCGCTTTTGCCTTCAAGCCTCAAATGATTTGAGCTACTGCAGTTTTTGGCACTTCCGTTTTGGCTTCGTTTCTCAGCACTGGAGGTTTATGCTTGGTAAATCCACAACAGCATGTACTTTCTGTCAGGTTGGCTGTAACTTATCATCGGCATTGTTCTGCATTTGTAAATAGGAAATATTTTAAAAACCTGTTGTTGTCTTTGTGTGTAAGGATGATGGCCCAGTAGCAGCCTTTTCAATGAGAGATACGACAGAAGTATTCTTATCCTAAACATATTTTCAGTGTTTTACTTTCCAATAAAATTTGCTCTTGACTGCAAAGAGCATACTTCAATGCCACAACAGGAAGTCAAGTAAGCTCTATTACTGCTCACCACAGCCTGATAGGCGATAGTCACTAAAAATAAGCGAAAGGAAGAGTGCTCACTGTGATAGCAAAGAGCCCCCTGAAGACTCAAGATGGATTTTTTTTCTTCTCCTGAACTACCCTAAACCCCTCGCCATAAATTTAGCATTCCCTCGTAATATTTTGCCATATCTAGTAATTTGTCTTGCATTCCCACTTCAAATCCTGGCTTAACAATGCTGTCTTTGCTAAGGTCAATAGGAGCGGCCACAGTACAGCTACGGTAGCCATATCGTAGAACCGTAGATGCTACAGCCATAGTCGGATCAATCATCACATCCACAGCCAGGCGGAGCAGCTGCAGCTGTGCTCACAGCCAGGGGCTGTGTCAGTTTTACAGTAATGAGCAATAAATGCAGTAATGAGCAATAAATGCACAATGTAAAGTGTCACAACATCTATCCTTTCTGTAGTATCTGCAGAGTGTTTCCCTGAACAAGTCCAACACACTAACTCTCACTATGGATCAGTGGGAATGAAAAACATTATTGCAAACGATCGCAGAAGAAGAAAAAAATTCCCACGCGACCCTACAGGGTCACAAAATTATGTTCAATACCATTGTGCTGTAAGAATCAGCTTGTTAAGCAATCAATTAGAGCCCATGATATCAAACACTATCTCTTTTTACAAGCGAGGCCATTATGGCAGTGATTAATCTTCTGATTATCTTCTCAATTAAGCGATTAATCATTTGGGTCCATAAAATTTCAGAAAGGAGGGGAATAGGGACAATCAGTTGTCCTCAAAGTTTCGGTTAAAAAGTTAAAGAGAGGATGGCGATGCCTTCCGATCAAAAAAAATGTTTTATTTTGAGTTTCCTTTGAAAATAGGGTGGAGAGAGGAGGGGCACCGCTTACTGTTCCCAATCTAGACGGTTGGGCATGGGAGTATGTTACCAAGGTCAGCGTCACAATGTGTGGCACTTTTTCAGTGGATAATTAAACCCTTTGAGAGATCCGCTTCTTCTCTGATATGCATGTACGGTACACAGAAACACAAATCAGCTCCTCAATATAACACAGACACACTTGCAACACTATTCTTTTTCTCGCGCACATCAAACAGTTCATTCTCTCACTTCGTTTTCTCTCATTTCTCCTTTCGGATAATACAATGGGGACATGTTGAAGGGCAGATATTTAATCCAAAATTGCCAAAGGAAAGAGCTCTGTCTTTTACTTACCGGTTTTGCATTTTTTTTTTTTTATATCAGACAACAAATCCTGTGTAACATTTCCCAAATAATTCAATCAGGTTTGAGATTGATTACTTAAGCTTTCAGAAAGCCGATGAAAATCAATTTACAGAGCCCCATTTTGAACTTGCTCAAGATAGGAAATCAATCAGGGTGAACATTGTGTCACCTTTTATGGTTTGTCAAAGCCGCGTTACTAGCAAGTGGCAATGAAGTTGCAAACAGGGGCTGTCTCATATGTGCATACAGTCAACTTACAAATAACAACCTCTTTTATGCAAGAAGTAACCTAATTGATACTATGTTTATACTGCATATGTGATGCAATGACATTGTTTTAACATTATCTGGAGGCAAGTATAACGAGCAGAGGGAGATTGGAGTTGCAATTTTGTCAAGTCTAATAAGACTCTGAGCTGCTGTTTTCTTGAATTGTAGCTCCTTCATTTGAGTAAGTACAGGTATTGTTTTACAAGATGAGCAAAAACAAGCAGACTAGTAGTTTATTTTTGTATTCTTACAGCTACTGTGCTGACATTTTGTACATTCTGGGACTGCATACAGCTACAGGCAGAATGTTTTTCTTTCAGCAGCTTGTGCAATGAAGACAGATAATTGTTGCTCAAATCTTTCTAACTCAATTTTTTTTTTTTTTGAATTTCGCTGGTATCACTCTGTGACCTGAGGAGAAGCTCTCACTTCCTGGCACACCATTTGACAGAGAAAGAGGAAAAAGCCATGCCCTATATTGCTGGAGGGAAATTCAGCACCTGCTTCCTAAACTAATGTGCACAAACCACTTCTACACTAAAAATACCTTTTTATTCATTCTGCTCACTCAGCCACCTACCACTACACAGCTGAACATGGGGCAGAAGACAATAAAGTCAAATTGGAAAAAGGTAAAACAAAAAGCAGCTGCTCAAAACCCATCCCCCACACACCTTGATAACCTGTTCGTCTGTTGATTTGCATTCCACTGACTCTGTTACATCAGAGACCGCTCCGTCTGTTCCTACGGTGACTACCTTTACTGGCACGGCAACTGTTCGCCCGTTGAGGACAGCTGTGTTGAGGATCTCCGTGTCCTGCAACGGAAAATAGAAACACACAAATCAGTACAACACACTGACAGCTGGGACTCAAACTACAGCGTGACCAATATCAATATTTAAGAATTTTATTCAATGTTATTATATTTAGGGCAATGTCCCTGCAATTTGATCAAAAAGTTTGTCACTGCCAACCAGAAAGACGCATAAAAAGGCTTTTCTGTCATCTGACCATCAGCAGGATGACATCATTTGACTGTGCCCTCCAAAACCGTTACAAATCCCTGTTGGAAAAAAATGACTCAGTTTCATGATCAGACAACACAATGGTTAGATTTCGGCGCAAACATGACTTGGTTGTGGAAAGTAGGGTTCAATGGCAATGTTTTTTTTTTTTCCCGATACAAATGATTTGCCTAATTGGTTCTGCACGTACAAACCTCAATAGAGATGAGAAAGAAGTGAGATGGCCCACTCCTTAGTTATTACCATCATTAGCACCGGAAAAAGGTAAGGTATTTCACTTGCCGATTGGGCATGTTGCTAGATTTACTCGCGGGCATTCCTTATTGTTGAGCCCTGGAATGATCATGATTTGGGCTAAAATGACGTCCTTGTTTAGGTTAGGAGACCATTGTTGTCATGGTTAGAATGATAACCACTTGGTTAAGGTCAGGTAAAGATTGTGGTCAAGGTTAAAAGATACCAAAGTTGACTGTTGGTAGAAAATAGGCGATGGACAGCGGTCTCATGTGTCAAACTCAAAAGGTTTTGTTCAGCCATTCATCCACCCTGATCTCCTCCCTGTGCCTACTTTGTGGCGCTATAATAAAGTCACCAAGTAGTCCTCCTTTGCTCCTGAGGGACAAGAGTCATAACTAATATGACTGCTACATGGTTTACTACGACATACATTGTTTTTGGACATTCGCTTAATTTACTGAGTTGGGGAAGACGGTCTCTCATCAAGACACTGTTTCTACCTCAGCCATACATTTGGCATGTCTGGACTGCAATTTACTTATTGGTGGACATACAGTATATATTGACACCAATGTATTTGCAATAAGCTGACGTTGATAATAATTGTCAAAGTAATACTCCATTATTATGGGAAATATGATTGTATGCTGCCTTGTGAGGACTAAGAGACAGCGTCATGTTAGTGAAATCAGACTTCTCTAGGCTTTCTTTAGTCTAGCTTAGAGCAGTTTCTAGAACTTAGGAAAAATAGATAGCCTCCACCAAAAGAGGAACAATTTGCTTTTCAGCTGCTCTAACTTCACAATGTCCTGTTTTCAGTCTCTGCATGTGTTAAATACACACCCACAACATGTGATTTAGACAGCTGTGGAGTTGTTTTTAACCAATTGATGGACCTATGTTAGCTGTTTACCCTCTGCTCTCTGTGCTTGTGCTAAGCTAAGACAACCTGTAAGTAAGAGTGTGAGAAATACTTTAGATTTTTCATTTCTAATTACCGTAGTTCCGAATAATTCCGAATACATAAATTGAACATTGCATTCGTTTTAATCAGCTACCATCAACTGTTTCATTCATGTTTCACCATCAGCGTCTCATTCATCAGTCATTGAGATCTCAAAGTGCAGCTCATTTCCAGTGAATTTAACTGTGTGACCATGAGGTCAATTCCTCGACGCACTAAGTGTCTCTAACTGATATAGACATGTTAAGTATAATGATGATTGAGATTTAAACACACTTGTATATGTGTTTGTTCTGCCGTAAACAGGTAAAATATTTACTTATTGTAGCACTTAAAAACACTAGTTACTAAGTGCTTTATATAAACAGAAAAAAATCAACATAAATATGACAAAAGTTTTTTATGTCTTTTGTAAAACACTTTGTTACTTGTTTTATAAAGGTTCTATATAAATCATTATCAAAAAATATTACTATTATTATTTTAATCTTTAACAGCTAATCCCCGGAAGTCCACTTTCGAGGGAAAAAAACAACTTTGACAATAATGCTTAATGTCAAATTGCAGGCGTTTAAGAGATATCACAAGATGCACTTGAGAATTGAAGGCCTTATAGAGGAGAGGGAAGAAGATAATGAGATCAATTTAGACTGCCTGTGACCGAAAGAATGAGAATGTGATCACAAGTGGGAAAAATGAGCTTCCTTCATAGGTTGGCTGGGCTCAGCCTAGAGATAGGGTGCTTGGGGTAGGGCTGCTGCTGCTTTTCCCATGGGACTCAAACAAACCTAATACACTTATTAATCAGAGCACTCACATATGAATGTAGCACTATCGAATCAATAAATATATTTGGAATTTATGAACAATTCTCTGTCAAATCAGCACGGAGACACGTAGAAACAGCTGTTTGTGGCTTGTGTCTCTCTCTCTCTCTCTCTCTCCCTCTCTCTGTCGCTTCCCTTCTGTCTGTGGATTGCTACAATGGGGAAAATAGTGTCGCTCCATTTCAATACTTTACACACACACACACACACACACACACACACACACACACACACACACACACACACACACACACACACACACACACACACACACACACACACACACACACACACACACACAGCTCTGTCCATTATTTTTGAACAGCTGAGTGATACTCACATGTATCTCTGCCAGTCATTTGGTTGGTTTTACAATTTTTTTGAAGCTTAAACAGATGATGATCAATGAGCAAAAAAAAACAAAAACGTGATTTGACAATCAGTCAACAACAGGCCAAAGGTGACAAATGACATGTATTGCATGTAATGTCTTAGCAGGGAAGAAACGAGGTAAATTAGGTAGGTCTGTTCGTTGATGCAAAATTATTCGGAAACTAATGCATTTCAGGTCATGACGATGTGAGTGTATGCAAGATGTGTTCAAGTTAATATGTATGTAGGGAGTTGAGAAAAAGTGAAAAAAATTATACCATCTCCGTCTCTCTTCAAACTATATTCAAATGGCATTGATGCTTATTGTATGCTATAAAGCCAACACTTACCATCTGAGACATTCCATCAACTTTCATATTTGCTCCTCTGTGAACAATGAACATCTTTACTCATATTTGATAAGACAGAATGTACAGTCTCTTGAGGCAAATAAGCGCTTATGAAAAGTGTTGTATGGGTTCCGTCCATCTACATGTGATGGGAAGTGCCATTAACGCGAGCCACTGGAACAACTCGAGGAAAAGAGAGGTCCTAATGAGCTTCAAACATGTTTTATGGGGACTGTTGGTTTGTGCCACAAAGAATAGAATATTGAGTGAGCTCAGATATAATACACACGATCACAAACACGCGTTTTGTTGGCTGGAATTAAGTGCGATTTAGCGAGACAGCTGGAGTGACGCCTGAGGCACAAATGGCTGTAATGTTTTTTTTCTCCATGAAATTCGCTCATCTCTCACTGGGCATCTCCTGGCTGACTAATATACTCCTGGAGTCATAATGGAGATGCACGTCCTATTGATGAAGCCTATTTGTACACAATGCAGATCAACACCCATGTCTCCAAATGGCTGTGTTATTGGCTTACACACACTCTTATGCTACTCCTTAATTGGCTGATATTAGCCATTGGTATCGGAGCATAATGCTGCACGATTAGTACAGATACGGAAAGTGCAGACTGGACTATTTAAACACAGTGACATGCAGTCAGGTATGAGATGCAAGACACCGCTATCTGCCACCGTGTTCTCAACACATTACACTAACACACAAGTCCAGCACTAGGCAACAGGTGCTACAGCTAACTCAAATTATTTCAGGCAATGGCAGGGCATTGCATTGAAGTCTGTTGTTGAACGGTGTCCCTAATATCGGAATAGACATCTGTTCTAAAAATCCTGTATCAGTTGGGCTGTGCTTATACACAAACCCGCACATTCTTACATATACATGCTCACACATCATGCACAAGCACAAATACAGCCTTTCTGCCCCGCTTATAGGAGAAGAGGCATGGCTCCCTCCGAACGCATGCAGCTTATCTTAACAACCTCTCATTGCAGTGCAGAGAAGACAGCAAGAAGAGAGAAGAAAGACGACGAGAGAGGGAAGAATCGATAAAAGGCCATTACGCTTCTGTGCAGCCGGGGTGGAAGGGTGGAGTGTGCAGGGGCTGATATGGTTGTGGATAAATGATGTGCAAAGAGAGCAGACAACCTGCAGAAGCACCTTTTTAGAGAAAAGCCGCTGCATGTGAACGTCAGCCAGCCCAAGGACACGACAGACACTGGTGTTGAGGAAATCAGAGCAACAAAACTCTCAGCAATATGTTCCTGAGATCTGGTGACTGGGTGACCATGGAGGATGTTTGAAATCCCTTTTTTTGGATGTTGTTGTTTGAAGGCATTAGGCATCTATTTCCAAAACCAGAAGCGCATAAAAGAAAATGATTACGGGCAACTCATCTGGCAAAATGTCTGACTGAAATGCTTAAGGCCACAGGCTGTTTGAGTCATATCTAGTATCTTTCTGCACTGGTCTTGGATACAAGCAGTTATCTAGAACAGCTGCACTATATCCCTGTCAGTCAGCTTCAACTTGCAGTCAATTCTGTTTGCCCATTCACATGTTTTAAATGACTGTGACAGTTTCCAAGTCTTTCTCACAGCATCTGTGAATTTATTTCGCCTGCCACGAGGTACAGTCTCATTTGGTAAACATGGTCACATGTATGCATGTGACCATGTGAGTACGGGGGCTTTCCCTGATTAACAAGTTAGAGTGTTGTACATTAACAACAGCAACAAAATATCACATTTTTGTTGCCATTTAGTCACTATTTATGATATATCCAGTTGCAATCTCCGCTAATGATGCTCATAATTATTCGGTTCATTAATTACTAATTCATTTCTTTGTGAGCTCTTTGTGATACCAGAGAAGATGAATATGCATATAAGAATCAAAGGTCTGTATACTTTGCTGTCAGTCACTGGAATCGGATTTCCCCCGTTGCCATTACTGTCCAATCAACGTTACCTGACAGTCCATATGACTTATACAGCCTTCAGCTCTGGTTTCTTTTA